ATAGGATCTAGATTAAAAAATAGAAAATATATTTAGAATCATACAAATTGTTGACAGAAAATTGATGCAAATCTTAAAGTCACATTCCCGATGACCAAATAATCATTTGTATTGCCATTCCACTAGTGGGGACCTTGACAATACCACTAATAGTAGTAAAATAATTAAGAAATGTTTTTAAGTATGTAAGATCAAAAGTCTGGGAAGTAGACAAAAGATATTTATGGCAGTAAAGTGAAACTTCTGGAGGAAAATATGCACAATTAATTAAAAACTCCAAATTAGCTCTTAAATAAGGTGATCAAACAATTTAAACTTTCATAAGAAGTTATAGGGCAAATAATGCCCAAAATAAACAGCATAAATCGAAATTATGATTCATTTTTATTCTCTAAATCTAAAGGACGACAGCCAGCATAGAAACGCAAAATAACTGAAAAACCTTGAAAAATAAGAGAAGCATCTGCACGATAGACTAAAGTGTAAGTAAAATGTATAGATTAAATGAAGCAGATGTTTAAGAAAGAGCTCCTGAAGAACGTGTTTTGATGAGTGTATTGCTGAAAAGGGTAATCATTTTTACCATCTTCCATTCTAAGGATACATAAATCTCATCAAGAATATGATTCTAATGAAGACTACGCGATCCATTTTAGCCGGTCTAATCAGATGCTATCAATTGCCTTCCATAGTGTTCAAGTAATTTTTATCAGCATTAATTGTCTTGGGCAAAATCTTACATAAATGATAAATTACCTATGAGGAGTAGGTTAATAAGAGCTTGAACCATTAGATTTACAATTACCATTATCTGGGGAGAAGTAGTTTGTATAGAAGTTGTTTGACCTTGTGTTTAGAAAGTGGGCAATCATTGCAGAAAACAATAGAATACTTGAAGGCAGGAAGTAGACATATGTGCAAGCGTACACACAAACATTTGGCTGAAAATAAAATAATAGGCAAATAAAGTGTAAATACGAGAGAGTACCACTAAGTCACGGTCAATCATGGACGAGTAGTGATTCAATAATGGCAACTCTAACTCATAATGCAGAAAAACATTTTAAAATAAACAGAGACCCTGTGGATCATACCTAGTCCTGCGTCCTCTGCCATAGCATTCATGATTTCCAGCATCGGACCGTTGAATTGGTGCATTTTCAGACGCTTCTTTGGCATCGTCAATGAGAGGCGCCATCCTTAGCACAGTTACAACATATCAAAGTACCAATTAAGAAAAGTGATGCTACACCTGTCGAACAGAAAATTAGTCAGGGGGATTGTCTTCACTTGTCATTTTGATAAGATATAATTATGTGCTAAGGCTGGCGCCTATCACTGATGACGCACATTAAGATGTCGGCGGAACGTCAGGGAAAGACAACGATATGATGCTGGAAATCATTAATACTTTGATAGAGGATGAAGGACTAGGTTCGCGCTAAAAGTTTTTCCTGCTACCCCGACCAAGTCGCGAAAATGAAGTCAAACCGACACTATAGAGCTAGAGGAGACTCGGACCAAATAAAAGACCATGTCATTCTAATTATTAATCTTATGCTGAAGTAGACTATGAATGCAATGGAAGATGATGTTATTTAAAAATTTAAAAAGTTACAAATTGAAAATATCAATAACAAAAACGACCATACATTATCATCGCTGTTCTAGTGTTTAACTTGAATATAATATATATGCTACTCACTTGACTTTAATAGAATGTTTGAACTATCAGGAGACAAACTGTCAAATTGTCCTTTTGTAAGGGATGGGGCCACAACGGTGGTCGATGTCACGACATTTTTATCAAAAGTGTCGCCGGAATTTAAAACTGGGCCTTCATTTTGAATCTGGCAAGGTGGCACGACCTTTTCGAAAAATCCGGTAAAATGAGAGCTTTCCAATGGTCTCATCTGCGAATTAGATGCTGAAGTAAAGATGGTAGATGAGATTTGATTGGAAGAGGTGGTGCAACTTTTGCCGCCAGTTATCGCAAGTGAGGTCTGACCGAGTGCCCGTTGCTGTGTTTCCGGAACACCATGCTTTGAATCTGTTGCCTGAAAATCCCCCGATCCACTGAATCCAACAAGACCAATACTTTTAGCGGCTTGACTGACATTAGATGGAGCTGACTCAGGAGAGAGGCCTGATGTTGGTCGATTAATTGTTGATAAGGGAGTAGAGTTGCCGGCAGAATAACCAGTTGCACCAAAAGAGAAAAGGGGACCAGCCAAAGGAGCGAATTTGTTGTTAGAAGCAAAAGTGGAAGTAGTGATCGTTGATGCTGTAGGAGAGCTTCCGAAAGCTCCACATGCTTGGTTCTGCGAGCTAAAAACATTGAGACTCGAACTCACTGGAGAACTGACTAATGAAGGAATTTGAGGAGTCGACTTGCCGATATCTGTATTGGAAGGAGGCGAAGACGAGAGTTTTTCAATGGCTTGTTCACTAATTTCTAAATGTAATATAATAAAAAAATAAATAGGATTTCATGTGAGAAAAATTAATATGAGATGTGTTGTGTTTTGGAGATTATAATGGTTTAGAATGACTGAGATCAGTCCTATTTCGAGTGAAAGTGTGTGATGAAGTGATTAGTAGGTCGACCGCACCAGAAGTCTGGCTTTCCTTGAAATTCACGTCGGCCTTGTGACAAAGGGGCACTTGTGAGGGTGTGGCGTAGTGA